CTAATACTTAAAACGAGAGCAGGGCTATACAGAAATCAAAGAAACATACAGGCAAAATTAATTATAGTTTGCATCTATGTTTAGTGCATGCTGGCTAGTCCAAAGGTTGTGTTTTTCAAATTATTTTGAGATTGTGAAGTCAGCACAAAAATTGCCACTTGGAATTTGGATTGGGCTGTGATAAAAGCAAGTCTTTGGCCTTTGAAACATCTATCACATAGAGACACATGAGGGCGCTGCAACCTACCAGCTATAGAGAAAAATGTTCTCTCAGGAGTGGCTTTTCTTTGGGAAAGGACCCTGGCGTGTCTGAGCCCCCTGCCCAGAGCTCCCAGTCTGAGCTGGTCTTTGACAAGCAAGAGGAACCAGAGTCAGCGATGGTTCTTATTGTTGATTTGCTAGCAGTTCTCCAGGAGAGAAAATGAGCATAATTATCACCGATGCCATTATTTGTTGTTTTTGCCTTTGTAGCCACTTCTCAGGGGGGCTCCCTTGGTGTCACTTGGGGCTGCCTCTGTGGCCCTCTGCCTGTGTCTGTACAATGTCTGGGATGTGGGGTGGTTGGGATTGCTGTCGGCATCAGAGTGACTCTCAGGAGTGCTGTGCCGCAGATATGCAGTTAATGAAAGCCGACTCCCGGGCACACTGTGAGCCCAGCACGCTCTGTGTGTGGCTACCAACAAGCCCAGCGGGAGAATGGAGGCACTGCCTTGTGGGGGTTTCTCCCACAGCTCGTCAACAGGCCACTGTGCCACCTTTAACTCTGTCCGGTGACACCTGCAGCTAGAGTAACAGCCATACTATTTTAAAGACAGTAATTTTTTAAATGTCAGTGTATTTGTTATTTTTTATACTATATATACATGATTTTTAAAGCATTTTATTTATTTGCCCCCTCCCTTAAGACAGTAATTTTAAAAGATTTATAAATCCAATGGAAGCAGTACTCCATTTTAATAGAACATAGTTTGGGGTGACCTTAGGATCGGATTGCTGGAAATGACATTTTTCTGCTGAAGGATGTGGGAAGTTATAGAGTATCCATCTGTAACAACCACTAGTGATGGGTTGCATTTTTTTGTTGTTTGTTTGTTCTTTATTTTTTTAACGTTAATTTTTCTCATTTAGTTGTCATTTAGGTCCTACAGCCTAATTGTTTCTCATTGTACTGCTAACACTGAGTCCTCTTACATCGCCATTAGGTCACTAGACCATTTTAGCTGAAATGGAGGCTATAAAATATTCCATCCAAAGGATTAAATTTGGAAATCTTCGGAGACACAATCTATTTATTTAATTAGAATTTTGTTTTTATACTAAGTAAAGAGAAGAAACTGCAATGCTTAAGTGTTGTGTGTGTGTGTTTGTGGGTGTCGTACGCAAACCAAACATCTGTGGGCCGCAGAATGAAAATGCAAGCAGAACCCTTGTGCACCCATGTAGACGTTGCCTTTATAAAGCAGCAGCTTTAACGACGTCCTTGGGGATTAGGGAGGAGAGAGAAAAGGTATGAGTGAGAGCTGATTTCATTGCCCAGCTCTGGCCTCATTCTTTCAGGCTGGTGGTGACTGGGGTGCAGCTGGTATCTGACCGTAGCCAGATCCAGGCCGCTCAGGGCTTTCTGACGTGCGCATGCGTCCTGGGGTGGTACAGGCACAGGGTGCAGGCTTTGGCCTCGGCCCTCTGCCTTCACTTTGAAGGAAGAACCGGAAGCCAGGTCGCTGGGAGAGCGAAGGGGCAGTCAGCTCACCGGGGCTGGAAGGCCACATCTGAATGGCAGTTCCCAGTTCTTTGGGGGAGCTAAGCCCTAGTGCACTCGCTAGTAGGAAGGGTGTGCAATGTGGAGTGTCTTCGCCTCTAATGACACCCGGGGTCCCTACCACCTCTCATTTTCTGTGCATCGCCAAATGCAGAATGTTGTGTTATGGAGAAATGAACAGAAAGCTGCATTCATCTTCACTGGGGGCACTAGAACCACAATGGCTTCATGACAGCATCTACTGATTGAGGAGTGGGGGCTTGCTGCGTGCCGGGCAGCTAAGCATCTCACATGGAGGCTATTTCATTTAATCCTCACAGCAACCCTATGAGGTAGATATTATTATTATCCCTGTTTCACAGAGAAAATCAAAGCTCAGAGAGGTTAAATGACCAGAGTCCCACAGCAGACTGAACTTGGGTCAAAGCCAGACTTGTTGTCTCTTACCAGCGTGCCACTGAAATGCACCATCTCCCTCCCAGGCCTCTGCACAGCTGTCGGCTGGAGTTTGTTCTCCCTGTCCTCTCTCTCCTGGCCTGCCCACCTCCCTTGCCTGTGTCGATGCCTATATACTGTTTGTAACTCAGGACTCTCCTTCAAGTTAACTTTCTGGGAGCCCAAAAAGCTCAGGCTCCTGCAAGCACCCTATCTTTTTCCTTCATAGCTCTCATGACTCTGTCTAGTTGTCTGCTTATGTGAGGAATGCCTGCCGTTCTAAGTGGACTATGAACTCCTTAAGGGCAGACAGCATCTTAACTCATTGCTGCAATCTCAGCTCCAAGCACACAGCCTGAGACCTAGGGACTCAGATAGGCATTCAGTAATATTCGTTGAATGATCAAATAAATAAATAGAAGACAGAGGTCACAGAAAGAGATGTCATAAAGAGATCATGTAGCCACTTTGAGAAGTTCAAAAGCGAACAATGGTGAACAATGGGTAACAGCCTGTTAGGTGTTACCCAATTGTCAGGTTATGTCACTGAATCGCTCCGCGCCGCAGTTGTCCGTGGAGGTACTTCATCACCCTTACAGGATGTCATCTGCGTCAGGGGTCCGAGGTTTATTAGAAGATGTTGTCAGTCTCTGACACCTATGTGACAGGAATCATCTCCTGTGACAGCAGCAAAGTCGTGTGGGCTCCTCAGTCATCGCTTTCCTCCCCCTTGTTTTTCAGTGCTTTTGTACGTGAGGAAGGAGACTGACGATGTGTTTGATGCCTTGATGTTGAAATCTCCCACGGTGAAGGGTCTGATGGAAGCGGTAAGCCACGAACCCCTTTCAACCTCCAGAAAATCTGCTTGTGTTTTCCTGAGCTGGAATCCATTTATTAAAATGCCGCCTTGGTGGTAGCTCCGGAATGAGCTTACAAAGAAAAAGGAAAAGCAGAGATTTATGGTGACACTGATCTCCATACTGTCAGGGCTTATTAGCATTTCCAGGAGAAAGAAACTGAAAAACTGCCAATTCCCTGTCGGTTTAAGGCTAATCGGTGTAAGATGCCATAGAGGAAGGTTAAACTGTGAATTTGCATTTGTCTCTGTGTGAAACCAAATTAGATATGTTTAACTTCCAGATATGTATGAAACAAAAACAATTAGGAAGTGTCTTGCTAGCTGTATGGTAGTGTAATCCAAAATAAAAATATGAACTCTTTCGGTTAAGAAAGAACATATATATTGCAGAATTCTGAAGTAAGAGTCTAAGTTCCTTCCTCCCTTATCATTCCCAGTTTAGTCTAGCATTACCCTGCTGGGGCTCAGAAAAAGTTATTTTATATTTTATCCATATACTGTTTATCTTAATATGATTTTAATATGACTCTATTTTGAATATGATTTCTAACTCCCTCCCACCCTTTCTTCTTTCTGTACAACTTGTTGTAGAAGGTCCAGGTTTTTTATAGTGGCGGAGACAACAAGACCTCCCAGGGACAGTCCATTTATGGACCGTTGTTGGTTTGCAAAATAGCTACATTAGAAACAGCATCTTGAGTTATGAGGCAAAGTGTTAAAATGCATAAGATAGTGCCTATAAGTGGAATCATACAGTACTTGGCCTTTCGTGGCTGGTTTCTTTTAGCCCCATTTCATCATGTTTTGAGGTTCTTCCATTTGTAGTATAATCAGTACTTCATTCTTTTTTATGGATGAATAATATGCATTGTGTGGATAGGTCACATTTGGTTTTTTCATTCATCGATTCATAGACATTTGGATTTTTCCACCATCTGCTATTATGAATAGTATTGCTATGAACATCTATGCACGAGTTTTTGTTTGAACACTTGTTCTCAGTCCTTTGGGAGTATATACCAAGGAGTGATAGCCAGACACAAAAGGTCACATATTACTTGATTCAATTTATAAAAAAATATCAAGAGAAGGCAAATACATGGAGACATAAAGCAGATTAACGATTGCCAGGAGCTGGGCGAAGGGGTAATGAGAAGTGCCTGCTTTATGAGTTTCCTCTGGGGGTGAGTAAATATTCCAGAGCTAGATAGTCCTGATGTTTGCACACCATTGTGAGCGTACTAAATGCCACCGAATCGTACACTTCAGAATGGTAAAAACGGCAAATTGTATGATATGTAAAAGAAAAAATTATTAATTACTTATTTGAATTTTTTAAATGCATAAGAGTGTTAACAGTGCAGATTTCCCACTGCCCTCTGGGGCTGGTGTTGTCAACAAGTCCCCAGGTGGTTCTGAGCTGGGCACTGAGGACCACCCTCTCAGAAACACTGCCGAGGGTTTGGTAATCTTCTATTCTATTGGATTTTGCATTGGGATGGGGTTACCTGTTACTGAATCTGCTGTGCCTGAAGGAAAATCGAAATAGAAATGAACACAACAAAAAACGTGACCTACATCTCTTCAAATCAACGAGAATTTTAAAAAATGACCCTAAAATTACCAGAGGTAGACTTATGAGCTAAAGAAGTCTATAAAAGGCTCAGAGCTCTCTGGGGTCCTTTGGATAAATTTCATTACCCTAACCTGGCCTTTAAGATCATATTACTGAAACTGACTTACCTAGGACAATGGTGAATACAAAAATTAGCTAAGTAGTTGTTTTAAATGTATAACCCCAGACTTCAACTCCAGATTCTGATTCTGCTGAATCGGAGGTGGAGTGGTGGTGGAGGATCAGGAATCTGTATTTTAACAAGCTTTTCAGGTGTTCTGAGATCAGTCAGGTATGAGAACCACTGATCCAGACCAATTCTAAACTGATTCATTAAGCTATGATTCATTAAGCCTTTTCCCTTGGTGTCTTTCTTTCCCTTTCGTGACATCTGGCCTGATCTATGAGTGCTCTGTAGCTGTGGTCATGCTGGACCACTGTGGGGGTAAATGTCACCTTCACTCGCACCCGAACGTTTGCAGGCACTTGCCGCCACAGCAGAGTTCAGCTTTTGACACCTCTTAGGGGAGCTCGTTACACCTTCCTTGTCCTGCTTAGCTGGGGCCCAGGGGCAGGTGGTGCACAGTATCCTTTGACCTTGTATGTCATGGAGAGATCAGAGTTCCCAGGCTGACTCTGGTCAGATTCCTCAGAGCAGTTCTGACTTCATCACTCCCTCATTAAACCTGGTAGAGAGGTTTTATCAAAGCACCAACACAAGGATCTCCTTGCTTCCTAAGTTGTGCAGATGGGAAAGCCAGGTCCGAGAAGCTGTTCAAGATTCCCAGGCGATGTGGCCTGGTGGTAAACTCTGAAGGAATGACACTAGCGGCCCCTGAAGTTGGGGGGCAGCTGTAGGGACAACAGGGTCTATTTAAGTGAAGACTTCAGTACACCATGAAGTGAGAAGGCAGAATTTTGAAGAACACTGGCTTCTGTTCACTGTCATTGTTCCCTAAAGTTACTTGGGACCTGAGTGGGGTTAAAGGGCTCTCTCCAGGGTGTGGGTTCTCTGAGGACCAGCGCCTTCCTGGAGTTTGACATTTATCTCTCTGGCACCAACACACACAGGTGGAGACAACGTAGCCTAGTGAGTCATCATATGGAGTTAGAGCTCAGAACACAGAAACCTGTGTTCATTTCCTGATGGTGCTCCTTACTAGCTGGACAAGCTTCTTAACCTCTTCTTCATCCTCTATATGGGAATAATAATAGTACATTCCTCACCGGGTTGCTGTGGGGATGAAACTCTCTGCCCGATTCCTAAGTACCCGATAGAGGTTAGCTTTCGTTACTAGTCATCGTTTGGGGTAGGAATCAGAGCTTGAAAAGTCACAGAGTAAAGATTTTCCCCTTTTCCTCAGATTTTGGATTTCTCAAATGACCAGCTTCTTATAGACATGGTCTGAAAGATGGAAAGTTATTTTGGCTCATGATTCCATTATATAATCTTCCACTAACTTGGCATTTCAGAGGAGGCATGGAGCTGTGGAAATAGTACAGGGAACCAGATCTGAAATTCTGGAAGCTGTGTGGGGAGTTCCCTCCTGAGCCCCCATCTAGAAAGCTCCTCCCAGGAAATGATCTTTACACTCCACAGTCTAAAGTCCACATTAAACAAAACCTCAAAACAAGAAGGCAGTGTGACCCTAACCTCTATGCTCTGTTATCACTCTTATTCTTAAAATAAGACCACGTGTGGGGTTTTATATTTTTTAATAACTAAAAGCTACATTTAAAAAAACCCTAACTTTTAAGGAAATCTGTTTAATCAAGAAATATTATACTTGATCTTGAGCCATCGCTTTGAATTCTGTCACTGGTTCAAAATGGCTTCCCCTAAAACACAGTCCCCCACTCATCATGGACCCAGAATGTACTGTGGGGCTAGGATGTTGCTTCTCTCAGTGGGAGATTCTATTGGAATCTCTTAGTGTGCTTTTCAGTGATGCCATCCCAGAGCCCAACATCTGACCGGAATCAGGCTCTCTGCAAGTAGGCCCAGGAACCAGCATTGGTGACAATCTTCCTGGTTGACCCTGAAGCTGGAAACTGGTATCAGCCTCTAATTCTGCCCTAAGGTCCTATTGTGCATATTCACTTAGAATGGGAATAACCACCCTCGATACACTCTTTTGGGGGCCCAAGTACCTCCAAAAGTAGTCCTGAACAGTGACGTGGCCCTATAGGCCATGCCACATCACAGCCCCATTCCTGTGGCTTTACGCATTGACCTGGGTCGAGGACACCTCTTTCATCCTTCATCAATAGTGTAGGAAGACCAAACACTTTTTCTGCCGAGGAAGGTGCCATTAGTCTCCCAGGGACAGCAGACCTCACGACTCGAAATGTAAAAGTGTGCCTTGTGTGCAATCTGTGTGTATCTTGCAGTTTGCCACATCACAGCCCCATTCCTGTGGCTTTACGCATTGACCTGGGTCGAGGACACCTCTTTCATCCTTCATCAATAGTGTAGGAAGACCAAACACTTTTTCTGCCGAGGAAGGTGCCATTAGTCTCCCAGGGACAGCAGACCTCACGACTCCAAATGTAAAAGTGTGCCTGGTGTACAATCTGTGCGTATCTCGCAGTTTCTGAAATAGGAACACCCTGCTTTATCTCAATAGTCACACTGTTTTGTTCCCTTCCTAAACTAGTTACTGAAAGGTTGGCTGTGCCTTAACTTCCTCATCCGTAAAGTGGAGATACTGAGAGTGTTAAATGAATTAATGCAAGCACTCAGTAGATATTAGCAGAGGTGACGGCAATGACATCGATGACGAGGCAGCTGCTTCCGCAGCAGGATGATTTGGATTGCTTTTCAATGGGAACCTTCTCTCATTCCTCCCGTTAAACTCCAGGTTCTTTATCCTCTGTCAGGCATTATTTAGACGTAAAAGAAAACCTGTATTGGAGGATAAAGAGCCCCCCCCAAACAGTTTTGTACTTTTTTCCTTTTTTAAAAAAAAAAAATAATTATTGGCATTTGGTTGTGAAATATTGATTTGTCATGGGACAGAATAGAACAGTATTGCCACCCTTCCTTCAGATGGGAACTGAAGTCTGAGTCAGAAAGTGTCACATCAGAGATTCGTTGAACAGTTTGGAGATGGTGACAGTGTTCCTACAGCCTACGCAGATTTCCTGAAATCTGTAAGTTAGGTCATTTAGTAGGATGGAGTAGTTCTGTTATCTTGAAATTGGGTTGTTTTTCTACTCAGCAGACTTTATACTATCCTTTGAGATAATATTACTGAGTTGTCCTTAGGAAGTCTCCTATAAGACCAAGGTCACAGGTCCCACCAAAAGTATACACACAGCAGCATATGGAATAAAAGGGAATGGGAAACTTG